ATTTCAAAGTTTTAAATTCAAAGTTAGGTTAAGTTTAAATAGCGGACGCGACGCGAACAGAATTCTTTCCGATCCGATAACTATAAATGAAGAGAGTTAATACCACCTCACGTAACGGAAATAACACCTGGCCTTATTAACGTCCATGCACGCTATTCGGTTTAGCGATATCTCTCTATTACGCTGTTTATTGTTATTTTACGCGAGTTTATTTTTGCGCACAGGAAATTGGACTCGTTTGCACATCGTCATAAAAAACAATTTTCGTATCACGAATTAGGGACAAGATTTTTATCTGTATACTTATAGGATACCTAATCTGTGCTAATATCCTCTGGTTGTGTGCTAAAGTACTAGCCTAAGTTCTGACGACATATTTAGGCAACTTGAAATTGGTTTATTCTTAAATTTTAGCATCTATTTAACCTAGAAATAAGTATGCTTTTTTTTCGGGTTTAAAGTGTAACCCGACCATTCCAAATATGTTTAATTATTCTACCTGGAAAACATACTTTAGGCATTCTAAAATTTTTACAGCGTGTTTATTAGATGATATTAAAAAATATGTGTTAATTGCCAGACGAATTCAATGGGATTTAATACTTGCCAGACGCGAATAAAGATTTTAAATGAGCGCGATAAGAAAGTTTTATGAGTATCTATAAGCGCGAGAAAGATAGTTTATTGAGACCCGTCGGCAGCCGATGCGGCTGACGTAACAGCATTTTGGAGTCGTAAAAACTAAAAAAAACTAACTAATATTGAATAAATAAAAAGAAACATTTTTTAATAAAAATGTATGATTGAAATCCTTTCAATAAGAAGACTTTTTAATTTAAGTATTTTGTATCTGAACGAATAAAAAGACGAATAATTATTTAAAAATTACCATAATATAAAATATATTTTTTTCAAATGTCACAAGAATATAATTATTATTATACTTTTGTGACATATTATATTATTATTAATTTTTGCGACCTGATTGACAATATAAAAAAGTCATTTTAACACCTAAGCATAAAAGTAAAGCACTTTTACTTACTTTTGAATCTATTTAGAAAGATTAACAATGGTACTTTAATAAAATTCCAGAATACTTATTTTTTAAGCACAGTACATGGTACCCTTTTGTCGGGACTACGTTTTCTGGTAAAACCACTTCATTAAATTTTAAACTACGTTGTTGGCGCACTTTTAAAAATTCTTTGCATTTTTGTAGTCTGCCTTCATCAAAAACAATAACTTTGTCACTAGTAACTTTTTTACAAACTACACAACTTAAATGTTTTTTATCAATTGTGGTTTAGTAGTTAGTAGCGAAATTAGTAGTTACTAAAATATTTATTTGCAGTAATTATTCTAAACTATTTACACTATGCACGTCAATATTTAATTTATAAATACATATTTGTACAGTACGTCTGCTGGATCTGTGTATATGAAAGGAATGCGGACAAAAAACATTTAAGTAAACAACAATATATTTTATTCATTGACTTGACGAGTACGTCACCGCAAATCGCTCCGCCCACTCATTCTATTGGCTACTTGCAAATTTGTCGAATTTTTATTGATGAGACCCGTCGTCTAATTTTTTACGAAAAACATCGAGAGAATATCGTTTCCCCTCTCACGGATACCCCGTAGCTATAGAACGGACAGACGTACTGTACATGGTAACTTAATTCCAACAAAATAATCTCTGAATTAAAAGCCTGCAAATAACTGAAATAAAACCGAAAAAAAAATTGTTTTTATGACAATTTGAAGTACTCCAAAATACTGTTACGTCAGCCGCATCGGCTGCCGACGGGTCTCAATAAACTATCTTTCTCGCGCTTATTAGATACTCATAAGACTTTTTTGTCGCGCTCATTTAAAATCTTTATTCGCGTCATTAAATCCCATTGAATTCGTCTGGCAATTAACACATATTTTTTAATATCATCTACAGTTCGTCTACTGGATCTGTGTCTATGAAAGGAATGCGGACAAAAAACATTTAAATAAACAGCAATATATTTTATACGTCGACTTGACGAGTACGTCACCGCCAATCGCTCCGCCCACTCATTTTATTGGCTACTCGCAAATTTGTCGAATTTTTATTGATGGGACGCGTCGTCTAATTTTTTACGAAAAACATCGAGAGAATATCGTTTCCCCTCTCAGGGATACGCCGTAGCCACAGAACGGACAGATGTACTGTAATAAACACGCTGTAAAAATTTTAGAATGCCTAAAGTATGTTTTCCAGGTATTAAAAAACATATTTGGAATGGTCGGGTTACACTTTAAACCCGAAAAAAAGGCTGGCATACTTATTTCTAGGTTAAATAGATGCTAAAATTTAAGAATAAACCAATTTCAAGTTGCCTAAAGAATGTTTTTTGGATTTATTTTTTTGCAAATGTTATGGGTTGCGCAGTAGCGAAATACCCCCAACCTCCCTGCCAGACTTAGGATTCTGGATTCACAAGTTATTAAACTTTATTTTTTTTGTTATTCTAACTTGCCTAAAATGTGTTCTCTAAATATGTCGCCAGCTCTCCGGCTAGGTGTTTGTTAGGGAGGGATCACTCAGTGATCCATGATGTGACACTCTTGACTTGTTGTTATGGAGGCTTTTACACACTGTAAGAAATTTGTTGGGTACTCCGAACTTTTTCATAATTGCCCAAAGTGCATCTCTGTTCACAGACTCGAAGGCTTTTGTTAGATCGATGAATGCAACATAAAGTTTAGACTGCTGCTCTTTTACTTTTTCCTGCAGTTGGCGGATGGCGAATATGGAATCGACGGTGCCGCGGTTGGTGCGAAAACCCATATCACTCCAAATATGCGCACATAGTGTACACACAATTTTTTCTTTGTAAAATATATGGTGAATGTCATTAGTCTAAGGCAACTTGTTTTTTTTTCGGTTATATGGTACCTACATCTCAATATGTACTACAACGATCAAAAATGCAATTCCAAAAATTATTTACTGCCTAATAAAAACTAAATTAAATTCTGTTAACTTTCCAATTTAGTCGACACTTAGTCCTAGTTACAAATGGTTTTGTGAGCTAAGAAATTGAATACTAAATGTTATTATAAAAGGCTAACATTTAAGAAACTAAATTAAATACCATCGAATATTAATTTAAAATAAAAAATCGGTAAAAAAACTTTTAAGTTAAACGGTTTTATCTTATGTGCACTGAAAACTAGAAAATAATAATAACAATTAGGTATTTTGAACTTCTAGTTCAGAAATATTTTAGTACTAGGCAGAATAGCTTTTAGGCATATTAGACTAAAACAAAAACGTGGGGCCCATTAACTATTGCTGTAATACTTTCTTCTATACTAAGTGTGGATTGCATCGACTTACTATAATCGTAACTGGAGATTTTGACAATCAATAACCAGCCGTGGCGGCTTCACCAGCGAACGCCGAGCTCATGATCTACCAAAGTATAAAGATATGCTTTGCCATAGGTAGGATTTCAGAGGGGCCCCACGTTTTTATTTTAGTCTAATATGCCTAAAAGCTATTCTGCCTAGTACTAAAATATTTCTGAACTAGAAGTTCAAAATACCTAATTGTTATTATTATTTTCTAGTTTTCAGTGCACATAAGATAAAACCGTTTAACTTAAAAGTTTTTTTACCGATATTTTATTTTCTAGTTTTTAGTATTTAACGGAAATGCCTACCGAATATTCCTCATTCTATTTAATTCATTTAGTGCATCATTATTACATGGTTTTTTACCTGATAATTTATTACAATCTGACGCTCAGGTGTTTCTGATGCTAACAACTCTCTCTGTCTGTCGCGTTCTGATGCTAGCCTAGACTCATGACGCTCAGGTGTTTCTGACGCTAACAACTCTCTCTGTATGTCACGTTGTGATGCTAGCCTGGACTCATGACGCTCAGGTGTTTCTGACTCTACCAGCTGCCTTTGTCTCTCACGTTGTGCTATTAACCTGGCATCATGTTGCTCAGGTATTTCTGTTGCTAACCGTTCTCTTCGTTTCTGTAGTCGACTATAGGTTTCATTTTCACTTTCTTTTGCAAGTTTCGTTCTATACTTTTCTTTCGCCCTTTCGAGCCTTCTTTTTCGTTGTGTAGCAGTTTCGTTTTTATTTTTGTTTGTTTTTTTATTTATTGTTTCCATGTTGTTCCCACGAGTAATGGACATTTTAACGGTCGACCCCCCCAGAGGTCCAGTAGAAGGGCAAGGCTATAATATACAACAAGAGGCGCCCAATCTTGAGGGGAAAACGCTTGCGACATTACATTTTTAGCCACCCTAATGCCATACAGTCCTCAGCACGTTTTAACCTATTACCTTAACTTGGGTGGTAAAGCTACCGCTAACTACGTAGGTACATCTATTCACCTATTTTTTTTTATCTGTCCTTCTAACGTCACGCAATCTTGGACACAACTGTTCTGGACACGACTACTCATGCCCTCACCTAATACGCCATTTTGTAACGATGTCCATCTTGGATTTTAAATTTTGTCATAATCACAGTATTCTACTAGTGTAGCCTTTTCATTTGATACCCATATTGAGGGGGTTGTGGAAAAATATGAAATTTTGTACCATCTTAGATTTACAATGTTATTGATATTACTATATTGTATTGTCATCGGAACTAAAGGTGTGTACCAAATTTCAGATCAATCTGACAACAGGAAGGTACTTAAATTTCAATTTCTAATTTTCACCAAACCCAAATAAACAAACAAATAAATAAATACCGTACGGGTCGAGCTAAATAAAACCGTTTAAAAAAATGAGAATCAATTGAAATTCTAATTTTTATTAATTCTGCATTTTTTATATTAACCCTCTGCCACGGCACTCTTGGGAGACAAATGGTAACAATTTGGTCTCAGGTGTTATTGGTTCTTGTATTTTTAAGTCACTGCCTAGATTCCAATGGCGAGAGTCGAATGTGAAACACCCGATATAATAAAACGATATCAGGCTTTTATAAACATTTTATTCATTTACATTCAAGATTGGTGTCAATATAGCACATACCATCTTCAGGACAAGTGGAACACTTAGCTATTACGTAAGGTTCTTCAAATTTTATTTCTCGAAAATCGCATATAAATAAACCGAAAAATATGATAGTAACTATGTGAAACAACCAATCGCAGATGGCTCCCATCACATGAACCGTATATCCAGCTTCGTGTGGAGTCCAATATAGTGAATTAAACCCTTAAAAATGAAAAAAAGAATACTATTAAACTTCAACAATTTTCTGAAAATTATCTCTAAAAATTAACAGTCCCTTATAATTTTTGTATTAAGCCTCATTCAGAACGAAATTAGTGGAATAAATTAGTGGTTTCAATTATACTTTATACTTAATAGTTTACGATCATTCAGGCAATTTCTAAAAAAAATACAATTATAATTACTAGAATATCCTAGCAACCAGCTTACGGTACATAGTTGTATCCATAGAGAGAATTAGCTTATAAAACAACAAACTTTTTATTTATAACCACAATTTCCTTTGACGGATAATAATCAAAGGCTACGGGGCCACAATGACATTACTCGCAAATTTTGAAGAATAATTAGTGGCAAACATTAAAAAGTTTCTTAACTTTTTCCACTAATTGAAAATTACTACCACTAATTTTGACGTTCTGAATGCTTAAGCTTCATTCAGAATCTCGTAATTAGTGGAATAAATTAGTGGTTTCTATTACACTTTATACTTTTTAGTTTACGATCATTCACAATGTCTAAAAAACAAAATTAAAATTAATAAAATATCTTAGCAACAGTTTGCGGTAGTCTATTGTATCCATAGAGAAAGTATAATATTTAGCTTATTAATTCAATTCAATTCAGTTCAATTCAATTCAAAATGTCTTTATTAGGTATATAAACAATTGTATACAAATTAAAATAATAACGATGGCGACGTTCACATTTGTGCTCTTCCACGCAACCATCCAAAAAAAAATATGTAAGAAAAGAGTAGTAAAATGAATAATCAAGTTATTACAGAAATATGATTAAAGACCTACATTATTCAATAATTAATTACAAAATATATATAAAAAATAAGGGAATATCAAAGAAGTGAGAAAAAAATTGAACATAAGTTTAAATATTAGTCTTTCAGCACACGCTCTTCCATCACATAGCCCTTCACTCTCTTTTTAAAAGATTGAATGCCAGAAGGGTGTCCGATATCGTTGGAAATATCATTGTAAACTCGGACCGCATTATAGGAAAATGAACGCTGGAACAAAGCTGAGACATGCCTAGGAACACTGTACAGGGTGGGTCAAATTCGACGCTTTTAAACGGAAACACCCTTTTCTATAGGAGATAGACAAAAACTAATATCGGTGTCTGGAGCTCAATTTTTGTCAAAAACATGTTGGTGAAAACCGCATATCGATATCTGTTACCGTTTCGAAGTTACGGGGTGTTTTTCAAAAATACGCAATTTTAACAAATCGCTGTAACTTTTTTGCTATGGAAAATTTAGTATTTTTATGAAAACATTTCCAGAAAATTTGATTTTTTATATGGGACACCCTGTATATTTTTAATTTATTGAAAAAAGTTTAAAATTACCTTTCCAAAAATATAACACACTTGATATTTTGTTCGATTTCTCTTTGAGATATAGAGTATATAAAAATTCGCCCGCTTTAAATAAGTAGGCCTTGAACGGCACCGACTGTAATGCAAAAAAATTCTAGCTGTGAGCATCAATTAAAACGAAAATAATATTTGCTATGAGAGATGCAGAATTTCATAACAATTTAAAATATATTTAACCAACATCAACACATTTAAACTATATCTAATAACAATAAAACTAAATAGCAAACCAAGACATGAGATTTTGTTACAGGTGTTCGACATATCGACCGTCTTCTGTTATGGATAGACGGGGCAGTTTTTGAACATTTCTCGCGGAATTCATTAACTCAGTAGGGGCGAAAGATAACCTCTCATAACTGCTAAGTATTTATAATTCTTGTCTAGATTATACGGAAGAATAAGAAACCTTTATTCTTCCGCAAATATATCCATAGGATTAGATCCATGGGCACTAAGTCAGGCGGCCTCGACGGCCAACGGCTGGGATTTTGGTTAGCTATTATTCAATTATTCTTGAAATTGTCTGCAAAAATTTGCTGATAACTTCAGCGTTCAGAGGCGGTGCGTGGTCTTGCTGGAAAATATGTTTTCCAGTTCCATTAAGGGCATATCATCAATAAGGGGTCCAAAGTCTACTAGTTAAATGTGGCGAACTTTTAAAAATTCTGTATTTCGAAAGGGATTATAACAAAATATCAAGTGTGCTATATTTTTTGAAAGGCAATTCTAAATTCTTTTCAGTTAATTAAAAATATAGAGGGTGTCCCAAATAAAAAATCAATTTTCCTGTTGATAACTCTTAAATTATTAATTTTAAAAAAATTATACTTGAACCATTAAATTCTACGTAAAAATGTGCTTTGGGAATGTTTTCATAGAAATACAAAAGTTTCCATAGCAAAAAAATTACAGCGATTTGTTAAAAATGCACATTTTTGAAAAACACCCCGTAACTCCGAAACGGTAACAGATGTTGATGTGCGGTTTTCACCATCATGTTTTTGATGAAAATTGAGCTCCAGACACCCATAATAGTTTTCGTCTATCTCCTATAGAAAAGGGTGTTTCCATTTAAAAGCGTCGAATTTGACCCACCCTGTACAACGCCCCTAATCTAGTAGGATAGTTATGCGTTTCGTTTCGCTTAGACAATTTCTCAAATAGATAAATTGGTGTTTGGGATTCATTAATTCTAAAAACCATACAGGTCAATACAGCACAATAAATCTCTCGTCCAAATTAAGCCAGTGAGACTCCCTAAAGCAATCCGATATGTGATCAAATTTCCGTAGGTTATAAGAGTATCTTACACAAGCGTTCTGTAATTTTTGTAATGAATGTCGATCAACTAGACGCAGAGCAGGCCAATAAACTACGTCACTATATGAAATAATTGAAAGAATTAGAGAGTCGCATAAACGGAGATTAATTAGTGTGCTATGAATGTCTCTGTATTTATAAAGTAATTTAAATTTCATATATGCATGTCAGCATATATGAAACTACTTACATATGGTGCACTTACTCTAACGAAAAAGTCCATAGAAAAAATCCCTGTAGCCCAACGAGCTATGCAACTAATTCCTTAGCTGTAATTAATCCACGACTGTTTTGCATTGGTGTGTGGTTCAGTTTTATTTTTTTTTGCCAGGATAGATAAAGGAAAGTGTTCATCAGAATCTGACTTTATGTCAATGGTTGAATTAGAATTAGAATGAGTGGGAGGGGGGTTAATCACTTAGAATGAGTGGGAGGGGGCTTAATCATAACTCATCATACAGTCCCAGGGCTTTGACAAAAGCCAGTATCTGGGACGGTTTTATAGAGGGTAGTTCTCCATCTCCAATATCAGTCGTACCAAAATTCATGGCACGAATGGTTGTCGTCTCGGCGCACTCAGTGATGAGGTGTACTGGTGTTTCACCATCTTCCCCACAGAATCTACATTCGCCGTTTCTTCTTAGTTTCAATCTACTGAGGTGTTCGTTGAGGAGACAGTGTCCTGTTAAAAACCCCGTGACAATCCGAAGATTGTTCTTACTCAGACCCAGGAAGATCTGTGATTTTTCTTCATCATAAGCCCTCAGAAACTTCTTCGAGTGTCTTAGACCATTGGAAAATTTCCATTCCAGGTTGCGGATGGAATCTTCCAAGTTCTTGAGTTCCGCCTTGAGTTGGTTACCACTTGGAAAGCAGAACGGTTCTGGTTCAGTTAGTGGAGTGTTCGCTGCTTTCCTAGCTAGATTATTTGCTTTTTCATTGCCTTCTATCCCTTGGTGAGCAGGCACCCAGTGTAGGAGGACTTTGTTTTCTTTGCCTAATTTATTCAGCTTCTCTATGCATTCTTTGACCAATTTCGAATTGATTGATACTGAGTTGATCGCCTTTAACGCTGCTTGACTATCAGATAAGATGGCTATTTCTTGTTTCCGATAGTTCCTATCTAAGATAAGTTGTACGCATCTCTCGATAGCGTAGATTTCTGCCTGTAGGATACTAGGGTAAGTGCCCATTGGTTCGGAGTAATTAGCTCTCGGCCCAAACACTCCGATCCCTGTTCCCGTATTGGTTTTGGAAGCATCAGTATACCAAGTTATGGTATGGTCTTTTAACTGCTGGGCAAGCGTTTCGCTCTTCCAATCCTTCTTATTGCTCAATACTACATTGACATGTTTGTCAAAGTTGTACGTTCTTGGCATATATGTCAATGGTTAAAGGAGTGGTTGTGGATTTTCTCTTTCTTGGTGATGGCGATGCAAAGTCTTCTTCTGGATTATCGCGTTCTGTCGTTCTTGCAGCAGCAAAATCGTTATCATCGAAAATTAGGGGATTAAATGGTTCGATGCCGCATGCTTTAAACCCTTTCACAGCATTACTTACTGTGTAGCAGCTTTACAGTAAACTTCGGCAAATAACGGACCGATATTTCTGTCAGAAATTACTGCTCCAGGATGATTGACCAGAAACGCATCACACACTTGATTGTAGTAGGTTTTTAGGGGGCCGAAAAAAGAAACATCTAATGGTTGTAATTTATGCGTTGTGTGAGGTGGAAATCCCACCAGAATAATTCCATGTTCTCTACAGAAGTTTATCCCTGGAAGTGAAATGTGTGAGCTATGGTTGTCGACCAATAACAACACTGGGTCATCAACGGAAGGCTTTGCGTATCTAACAAAATGTTTTAGATATGCCAGGAAACTATCAGCCGTCATCCATCCGGAACTTTGTGCCGTTGCTTGCGATCCAGGTGGGCAGCCAGGTTTAACAGTTCAGGTTTCATTCGTTGACAAGCGAATACGAAATAAGGCGGAACATAAGAACCTACAGCATTCATAGAACAAACTAAAGTGTTTGTGCGGCCTCTTTCGGCGGATACAATTTTGGCTACTCGACGTTGTCCTTTAGGCGTTAAAATTTTTGGTAGTTTCGTTGGCACTGTAGATAGACCGGATTCGTCGGCATTATAGATGCGATCAGGAGTAAAATTATATTTTTCTTTAACCTCTCTAAGGATAGAAAAAAAAATTCAACCGAGACTTTGTTGAATCCTCTAAGATGAGCAACAGATCTGGCTTCTGGGT